CTTTATCCTTTAAAATGGTTTTGTCATAGGTTTACATTGTTGAAAGCCACACAAGAGTTGGGTAGAAAGCATTTTAAGTTAAAAACTGCATTACATGGATGGGATTGTTGATGATGAACCAATACCTTTAAGTTCTACAGCCCCAAAAAAGCTGCTTTTGAGATTAAAGGTTGTCATGTTGTTACTGCGACTCAGAGGCCAATCTTCACCCATCTTTGCACAAGGCCGCAGGCTTAAAATAAAGAGAATTGGAAAAGATTTCTAGCTAATAGCACTTATCATTGAAAATGGAAGCAATGTCATATTTGTACTTTTACGTTTCAACCCTCGTCTAAAAGCACTTAGTCTGTTTCACATAGGAATCTGCACCTACATCTCACTGTTCACTTTAATTTACCACTGCATTCAGACATTGACATGGCTCTTTTTTTTCTGTCATTCTAGGCATAAGCATTTCACCAGAAAAGCCGAGGGACAAAACCCCAACCTTTCTGTTGGACCGCTGCCACTGAAAAACAAACTCATAAAAACAGAAAAAGCCTGCAGCCTTGGGTCAGCGGTAGCAAATCAGTGCAATCCCAAATGAAAAACGAATGACTGTGAAACTCCTTGTGCATCAACTTTTAAAGGCCAAATAGCAATGTCAGAGAGCCCAGTTGTCTCAGTGATGCAGGAACCTGTGGGCATATGGGGGTGTGGAGGTGCTGAGCATGCACAGTGAAGCAGGTGGATGAGACTTGAAGAGCTGCTTTAAGAAAGAGGCAGGCAAAGGTCCGGGGTCTCGGACAGGTGACACTTGAGCACCACCAGGGAGACTCCTGAAGCAGAGTGGAGGAAAAAGGAAAAGTTGTTCCCAGTCCAGTGAGAATGTGGACGATGCAGTCTGTCAGGTCTCTAATCTGTCAACAGAGCTCCTCTGGTCCCCTCAGGCCACACAAACACAGCACTACCTCAGTCTCTGCTCTCCTTCATTCACATACTCTGTCCTCGTGCACCCTCCTGCAGTCAGTAGTAGTGCATGCCACTGGCAGGTGATTTTTTTCTCTGGGAGAAAAGAAGCCCTTTTAGTTCATTTCCTGGGTTCTTCTACTGTATTTATTTATAATTTCCCTCTAAACCTTAGCATCATGCACTCAGTTTTTAATTTTAAATTAAGAGAGTCATAAATGTTTTATGCATTAATCAGAACAATGTGCTATCCATTAGGAAAGTGTTACCATACTGACCTCTGCTGGAAGTATGGTGGTATCACACATTGAAAGAGATGGGCTGCTATTTCCTACACTTTAAATCAGGGATAGCCAACTCCCTTCCCCGAGGGTCGGTGTCCAGCAGGTTTTAGTTGTTTCCCTGCTTCAACACACCTGATTTTAATCAGCAGGTGGCTGCTGCAGAGCTTGATGAGCTGCTGAACAGGTGAATCAACTGTGTTGGAGCAGGGAGACAACTAAAACATGCTAGATACCAGCCCTCGAGGAAGTATGGAAGAGGATCGGGTCACTGAAGAGAAAAACAAAAAGAAAAACAATTCTTACTTTCTTTTCTTAGAAGTCAAAAAGGTGTCAAAATTGTGAGGAAAAAAGTCAACATCTTTTGTAAATTTTAAAAATACCGGAACAGAAACATCAATATTCTTCAGTGAGGAATAAATAATAAATATTTCCATGTGTTGTGATTTGTATTTCCTCAAATTATCAGCATCCAGCTGTGAGCAAAGACATTTACTGCTGTCGTAACAAAGCTATGTTGACTGTTATTGGACTCCAGAGACTTGTGTTGAATGCGAGTGGAACATACTCATGAGAATGTCGCTCACATGATGATGCGTGCGTGCCTGCTCTCACACCCTCGCGTTCACACGTACGCAGGAAATAATAGCACGCATTCGCACATGACCAGCTAATTTTATGACCTCTTTCATGTAGCTTAATGGACAAACGCTGGTTTTATCACCACTGAATAACTGACCTATTTCTTAGCCTCCTAATAATCTGAAAGTCATCCAGCGGTCCGACCTTTGCAGAGAAATCCACCTGACCTCACACGAGTATGGTGGGTCCCCAGACCCCATGGAGATAATCCTGTATACACTTTGTAACGTGAGGGGACGAATGTGGAGGGCATCAACGCGTGATGACAGATTCTCATTTTAGTCATCTATCACAAGGTTCAGGGTGCGATCCAGGGAGTCGGATATCCACGGTCACCTCAGGAATCCTCAGAAGCCTGAGATGAACCCGATTAGAACTGTTCCTGCTAAAAAAAATAAACCCACCCTCTAATGAGGGTTTTATTGCTCTACTTGTCGGCTATATCTCTTGCTGTCCTCTCAGCGTGTTCTTGATGCTTTCTTGTGCAGGACTGATTCATTTAAGGTCCTTGACTTTTGTAAATATTAATGTTTACATGCATTGTACTTCTTGACAGTTTACATTTTGACAGTTTTATTGCATTTTGCAACCTTCTTTTTATCTTATTTGTTTTACACCCAAATCATACTTTTGGCATCCAGTGTTGGCAGCAAAGAAAGAATTTAATTCCACAGGGAAAACGTGTTTCCTACAGCACAAATAACCATAAAGCTGTTAATCGCGAGTCTCTGAGTGACCACAGAATTTATATTTCTTCCCAGTTTCTCAGTTTCTTCCTATCACTGCCCTTGTCTGCACATGGTTATAGTAGACGTGCCAGGTTAGCACTGTGACTGCTCACAGCAGTGCTCTATGAAGAGTAGCCCTCTGCTCTGCCAACTCTGGCCTTTTTCCAGCTAGATAAAAGTGCCAGCATGAAACCGAACCAGCATACAAAAGGTCAACATGCCCTCGAAGGGATCAAGTAACTCCTGCGTAGGTGCGGTGTCACTCAAGAGGCCGGCTCATCACAAACAGACTCAAAACTACACATCTTTGAAAAAGTGAGACAGAACTATTAAAATGTTCAGATTTTAAACTCTAAAGATTTTTGACAGTGTACTACACATTTATCATTCTTCAGCTAGAGATCGATTTGTCTCCTCAAGACAAACCACTCAGCAGGACGGGGACGGTCCATTCTGTTCTGCCAAAATTCTCCTGGCTCAACCGTAACAGCATGTCCCTGTGTAACCCACCGATGTTGGATCAAATAAAAGTGAGGGGAAACCGAGACCAGCTCTGTGTCTAGGGCACTTTGTCTTGTTCTTTAAGCTATTCTTAAACAAATTTTGCAGTTTATGGGACATGTTGTCCTGGTGAGGGAGGGTGAGGACAGCCACATGCAGTACCTGGACTTAAATGAAAATACGTCTGGTTTTAGAAAGCTTTCAGAGCCCTCAAACTTTGTTTTAGAAGAAATGCTGCAAAGACACAAATGGTTAATTAATGTGTTGGTCCTCTAATTTTTGAAAAAATACATTAAAGCACCCCTTCAGTCAACAAAAGCATGAAGAAAGGCTCCATAACATTTTTAAACTTTCTGCAAAAGTGAAGATTAACAAAAATAAATAAATAAATAAATAAATAAACATTGTTTTAAAAAGTACGACCTATTCAAATTAAACAAGAAAACATTCCCTGAAACAGCTCTATTGGTGTATATATCTCGTAAATGAAAAACCTTTTTGTGTCACAAATATTTCCTTTGTTGAAGAAAATCCCAGAAAGCTTATTTTGATTATGTGTTTGTTTATTTGGTACATTGTGAAGTCACATTGGGCCCATAAAACACAGCAAATGCACACACACATACACAAAAACTTCTGTGAGAATCCTGTAATAAACGCAAATGTGATCTGCACTTGTATTTGGAGTTTGATGCTTAAGTTCCTAATGTAAATCAGTTATGGTAACACTTCACAATAAGGGTCTCTTCATTAACGTTACTTAGTACATTACTAAGCATTAATAAACAATGGTTCCATTTATTAATGTTCCCAGTGTTGTTAACTATTAAGTGTCCTTAATGTTAGGACAAAGGGCCAGGGGTTGCATCTGCTTAATGCATTACACAATATGGTTAAGCAGTTGTTAATCCTTTATTAAACAGTTGTTAATGCTTAACAAAGCACTAAGTAATGTTAAAGTTAGTGTGTATTTTCCTAGCACTAGGGGGCAGTACATGCATTTGAGGGTAGATTTACACCATATCCCCGTGTCTGTCGCTAGTTTAAAAAAAATTACGATAAATGTTTTTACCTGTGGAGCAGAAAGCATGCTGCCTCGCCGTGACGCCTCAGACTTTGATGGTCCTTCAGTTAGTTCAATCAAGAGAATGCAACGCTGATGCTAGTTTTCTCAACCAAAAATACATTGCATCTCTTTTTCGATTCTGTTCTTTCACATAGATTTTGTAAAGAGTTTAGCAGTTTTGTTATTAAATTTGTGCTTCCTACTGCCTAAATGTTTTCGTACGTGATAATGCAACTTCCGTAAGTTGTATGCCCAGCCATTCATCTACTGTGACATCATCGACAGGCGCAGAACACAGAGCCGACCAGATGGAAACACGGCGTCTAACGTGGCAACCCCAAAGACATTAGACCTGTGCTCCATTTACTTTAGATTCGATTTTTAGGGTTATATGTTTCAAAGTCACCAATACTTTTCAACCACTGGGCATCATTTTATTCATTTTCAGTAAAGTTTTGATAGATATTTCCAGAGATTAAAGGTAAAACACACTTTAATAAAGGACCCTTATTGTACAGTGTTGCCTCAATTATTATCAGTCAGTTAGCTTGTTTCATCCTTACTGCACCTCACAGATGTGTTCAACATCAGGGCTAGATTTACCACTAGAATGGGCAAACATATTAAAAATGTTATAGCACTAACTAAGAATTGATCAAAGCTTCAGTGAGAACAAAATTGATGAAAAGCACTAAAGATGGACGCCTTTTTTTTCTTTATTGAGTTACAAGCTGCAAAAAGCTTGCTATTTTTGCAGTAATTACTGGAAGAGTAGGAATATCAAAAAGGCAAAAACAACCCCCCCCCCCCCCCCCCCCCCCCCACCACCACCACCACCACACACACACACACACACTGCCGGCAATACACTGTGGTCGTACGAACACACAGTCAGGATATATTGCAGATCATTTGCTGGACTGATGTTCTGAAAATACTACGGTAATTTGGGGAAAAAAAGCTTATCCTGTCATCCCATTGGCCACCGTCATCCGGTGTCTCTTCCACGTATAAACCCACCAACACACTGAAAATATGTAGAGAGCAAAGAATGCCGGGAAGTCATAGACGAAGACGACGACAAAGAACCCCCCGACCAACAGGGTGCAGATTAGAAGTCTGGTTATGTGGCTGATGGTGTATAATACAGTCCACCATAAAAGGGCGTCGGACTGTTTTAACTTCTCGGAGGAGGGGTGCAGTTGTTGGGACGATCGATCCAAACTGTCTTTACGAGCAAATACATAGTCTTCCATTTGGGCGTCTGCTTCCAGGCGAGTGACTGATCTGGCTTTGATTTGGGAGCAGTTCCCTTGATCCTTTGGAGAGAAGAAAGCTTGGGCGGATTCAAACAATGGCTCAACGTTCCGAGCAGCTAAAGCGCCTGAGAGATCAGGGCTATGATGAGCACTTGAATCCAAATCGGAGTGTAATTCAGAGATATTTTGCTCTGCCACATTAAGGGACTGACTTCTCTGTTTTGGAGGGTACTCGTTGCTTTCTATCGCTATGGTTGGCTCTAGGCCTTCACTGATACTCCAGTTTGGATCTGTGGGTAATTCTGTAAAGGAAAACACTCCTGAGTCAAAAGTATCTTCGTCAAAGAGAAGATGGCAGCTTTGCGTAGTATCTGTCAGCCTCATCCTCACTTCATCAGCGGTATTTTTGAGTGTACTGGAAGGTTCTTGAACAAAGACCCCCTCCCAAATCTTGGTCGCCAGATTTTCTCCAAATCTTTCGATGAAATCCATTTCCAGCCGTGCCTCTTCAAGTGCAGCACTGTTTCCTGCTGTAATGGGGTCTTTTGCTCCATTTGACAGTTTTTTGTGTTCGCCACATGGAGAGCTCTCAACTTCTGCTGACGATTCTTGTTCCTTCCATGCGTTCTCGCCTCCCCCCCGAGGGCTCTCTGCATTACCCATCATCTCCCTTATTGCCTCTATTTTAAGCTTTCCAATACTGATGCTTTCATGTTCCCGACTCAGATCTTCCTCTGTTCCTCCTGATGCTTCAGGTTGCCGTTCTGTTGAAGTGTCACTCTTTGCAGCGTTCTGCTTTGCTGTAACTTCTTCGGCACTTATTTCACAACTTATTTCATCCTTTCGACTCTTCAGCTCTTGCTGGGAGTGATTCCATCTCAATTCAACCACTTCCAGGTGCTTTGAGTTGGATTTACCCATCGGACAGGCTATTGGACAGGCTATTGGTGTTTCATGGATAATTTGTGAACCATTTTCTGATTCTGTTGCATCCACCATGGATGTAACTTTTGCTGAAGCGGTTATTTCTTTTATCTCCATTGCTTTTTCCTCTCTTGACTGATTTAATACTTGCTGTCCTGTTTCAGACTTCAGGTCATCATTTTGATCTGTCTGTGCTAATTCCTCACTATTTTCCACAACTTCTTTTTCTTCTGCTTTGTTTTCTGGACCGTGTTCAACTCCTTTAGTTAGACTGACTCGGTCATATGTTTGGCAGGGGTGGTCACCATTTTGGTAGCACCCAAATTCCTTACCCTGCACTTCATCTACACATTTTATGGTTTCCTTCAGGCCAAATATTTCCACTTCTTTAGAGACTTTGCTTTCCATATAGTTCATCGTGATTGCCTCCTCCACTCCTTGTCTGGCTGCAGAAAAGACATACCTCGCCCCATCCTTTGTCTCCTGTCTGACTGTCTCCCTAAATGCCAGCATGTCATCCACTGCATTGTGTGCAGTGCCGGTAACCTCTCGCTCCCAGTTGGAAGAAAGCCCCTCATCCTGCCTTGCTCCTTGTGAGATCCTATCAACAGTGCTGGCATTGTGCGACTCCTGCATTGCTGTCATGTCTGTTGTCTGTGACTCCCCCGAGCTTGTTACCAAGTCAGCTGTGTGCAACGTGAAGGGCTCATCTCCTCCTATTCCTGATGCTATTATTCCCTCACTTTCCTGATCCCAGACCTCGTGCTTGTGACATTCAGCCGGACTGTCAGAGTCATCGGACAGAGACGCTGCCCTCTTGAGAGTAGATTCCAGTGGAGTGTCTGTTACGGGGTTTGTCTCTGACCTTTGGGAAGCATCTTGTGTTGCTGTGTTGTCGTCTCCCGGGCTGCTGACACATGCCTCCTCCGGCTGATAATCTTTACTGTTCAAGGCCGACAATGGTTCACAAGAGCCTGACAGCGGTTGACACGCAGCGAAGGTGTGTGAGGCAGTGGGTGTATCTGTCCTCGCCTGAAAATCTCGAAACTCTCGACTTTCTGCTGAATATTGAATTTGCGGCTCCTTATCATTCGAGGGAGACACCGACGCTGCTGTCTGGAGCCATTCTGACTCGGGAACGTCAGAGCGGTCCTTGCAGCTGGGCCCATTAAGAAAAACCTGCCATACGTCACTCACAGAGGTTCCTTTGCTGCTGTTTTCATCAGTTTTCTTCCACATATCATTAACTGATTTTTCTTTTGACGGGTTGGACAAAGTCACTTTAGGTCTCCCAGTCAAGATGTCATCTACATCAGCAGTCCCAGAACTCCCAGGCGGGTGGTTGTTCCAGTCCAATGTGAGTAAAGGAATTTGATGATAGGTGAGTACCTGAGGACTCTCACTCGATTGGATATTTTGACATTTGTGGATAGAGTCACCCCGTGGAGCAGGTGTGTGCTGGGAAACCGTTTGACCCGGGGCCGAGTCATGTGAACATGCCTTTGGCTGTTGCGGCCTCGTCTTGAGGAGGTAGTCGTTCACACGAGCCAAACGAGTCGCTCTGCGGCGGCTTTTTACACTTTCCACCTGTTGAAAAGACCAAAAAAGTCACAGGTCAAGCTGATCTGAAAAAGAAAACCGCCTGCCCTATTTGTTGTCAATCTTTAACACCACAATTTCCAGAGAGTTCTGGCATTTACTGAACACTTTTTGACACGTACCATTGCTGTCATGATGCAACACATGGCAACCCAGCTGAAATTTCCCTTCAAACCCCTATTTTGGTTCACATCAGCATCAGTTTTTCCTGCATGTTTACGAACAGGTTCCACCTATTATTGGATGTTTGCACGTGAGCTATGTTAGACCTCTTCTCAAGTGTCAGGTTAGCCGACATTCCATATCTCCCAGAGAATAACTCAACATATTTAGGTAAGATATGCATCTGCGGCTCTGTTGTCGCTCACAAACACACACCTACAAAAACATGCTGCTTAACTTTAACTACAGTTGAGTTGTCTAGCGTTAAAGTGCCTTGAACAGGTGAAACTTAAACATGATGATATGGTGCAAAAGTCTGTTTATTTCAGAAATTCATCTTAAACTTAGAGCCCTTATAAAAGCTCAGGAACCCTTTGCAGGTAGATTAATCAGCTGATTAGAGTGTGACGCTTAGAAGATTAAACTTTTTCACAACATTCAAATTGTCTCAGATTTTGAATTTAGGGGTTTCATAAGCTGTAAGCCATGATCATCACCATTATCACAAATAAGGCGTGAAATATCTGGCTTTACATGGAATGAGTCTATCTCTTGTATTAGTTTGACCTTTTAAGTTGAATTACTGACATAAATGAACTTTGCACGACATAATTCTCCGTGTTTCATCTGTATAATAGTTGGCAGTGGTTTCCGTCAAATGATAAGATCTTAGTAACAGAAAAAATGTGTTAAAGGTGTGGTTCACTGAACATTTGTTTATTACAATTTCTGATTAGTTTTTCATGCAGGCTGAACGTGAAAATAGTCTCCTACACCTATCTCCTGCATTAGCTTCTGAAAGAAAATAGAAGGATTTGAAAATCTTGAGATCTACGTCACACTTTCACTTAACATTCATTGATTCACCCATATTGACTTGCGATGGGGAAGGCTGTTGTTGGTTTAGCGCCCAAGAAACGGCAGAGAACGTCTCGGCCAGCCAAAGCTAACTGTTAGCATTAGCAACTCCACAACACAGCAGAACTCCTCCAGGCTTGTGTTCTATGTGGAGATAGAACAAAGCAAACAGAGTAAGCCCCTCAGAGGCTAAATGTAAAAATCCTGCTGTCTGAAGCTACTTCCTCCTCCAGGTGTCTTGTACTTCCTGAAACAAGCGCATCTGACCTATTCCCCTCAGAGGATGACTCACAAGGCATTCATTGGTACAACTGCAAATTTAGAGATTAAACAAGTGAACTACGCCTTTAAAATGTCTAAATGTTGTAATCTAAATCTAAATGCTGTGCTGAAAACAAATTCCACCAACTTGTTGTGTGATCATTAATAAATGAATCTGAATCTAAATGCAAATGTGATCGTTTTAATCACGTTTTGGATTCCAGATGTAAAATGCAACCAGAGTACAGTCAGGATGAAGAGATCCCCTTCTAACATCTGAAATTCCTTACAATGGTTAAAATGGGAGAATCTATTTAACTACTACCGATCAATCATCGGTGATCTTGTTTGCATTCTCCATGCACATTAACAATCGACCCAAGACTAAACAACTTCACCACATCTTTCCATCAAAGGGAATCAGAGCCGTTAGATAGGGGATCTCTTCGCCCTACCTATGTTTGATGGGATATTTAGTTTTTTTTTTTTTGTGTGGTCTGAAATTAAAATTCAATTAACTATTGAGTCTAACATGTTCACATTTATGTGTCATTATGTTTCCAACTTAAGAATCTCACCCAAGGTTTTTGTTCTTCCACATGAACTGGTTTTCCTGCAGTGTCCACCCTTTCCCCTCCAGACTTTTCTGCTTTATGTGCTGCTTCCGCATCTATAGAAACAAACAAAGGAGGGAAAACTGACACATGCATGCAGATGTGCAGAATGCAGGTGTGAAAGTGTTTCATACACACCTGCTGCAACAACATTTGTGCTAACTGTGTCCTTGGTGTTTTCCTCTGCATCTCCATTCCTGTTGATCAAATAAACAGTGAAATGAAAAGAAAGTCTGGTCTTTAACTCCCCTGGAAACGCCTGTGCATGATTCATAAAACTAGCACGTTTTATCAGAGAGTGACCAACGAGGAACATTTCTCGTTCCTCCACGCTGCAGAAATACGTCATGGAAACCTGCACAGATGTCGAACCATAAAAGGGGATTATGTGTCCTTCAGGCCAAACTCCCCTCTCTATGTTGTTACATAACACTGTAGTGTAAACAGACAGCAGAGTTTATCACTGTCACCTTTGGTTAATGAGGAGAACAGCACAAGGTAAACAGATTGCTCACTCTCTCTTACCCTTTACATTCAGATCAAAAAAAGGAAAAATGAAGCTTCCTTGCTTCCTATTTTCTCACCTAGCCTTGAGACAGCTCCTTTTGCTCCTGTAGCTGCTGCCCCCCTCTTCTGCTTGGGCCACATGCTCTTTAGTTAGTCCCTTTTGGTGGCAGAACAGCACATAGTTCATCTCTTGGTTATTAGCCCAAAAAGTGCCCAATGGAGTTTCATAGCGGAGACAAAACTCTAATCTTGTGGACCCTTTCTTAAAGGGGGGAACCAAAGTGTACCTGAAGGTAAACCTGTCGGTTTTCATGTCACTGGAGCCAGGAACGTACTCTGCCAGAAGGTCAAAGTAGCTCCTCCAGCAATCCAGAGTCACCCGGGCGTAGACACTTTTGTTATAGCAGAGGTTGAGCACCCTGATGTTTCCACGGAGGGTGGTGGTGCCTGGGAGAAGCTCAATGCTCTCCAGCTCAAGCATCTGTGTGTTTAGCCGCTGCTCCAGCTCCTCCAGGGATGCAGGGACCACAAACAGGCAAGAAAGGTAAAACTCTTCAGACGTGTGGGTCAACTTTCTTCCATTGCACCAGATGACCTCTGACCCCGCCACTTCTGCATTATCAAACTCCTTAACTGAAACCAGGTCCAGGCCGAAAGCATCTGCAAATGAAACCTTCCTGCGGAGGACCGGAGGGGGCTCTGGTTCCGCGTCCTCATCCGTCTCCTCCTCCGTGGTGGAACTTGCCAGAGACAAGGCCTCACATCCTTCGTCGTCTTGCTCACTACCTATTTTCCCATCTCCTTCATTCTCAGACATCACCCGTGGCTCTTCATAGGGCTGCACGTACAGGGCCTCCATGGTCTGAGAGGCAACTGTGCGTCTAGCTGGCGGGGTGGCACTCAGCGGAGTGGCCTAAGCCTGGCTACAGTGATACTGTATCAGGAGGGGAGAGCAGGAAGAGGACGTGACTTGACAGATGGAGTTCGGTTACAGCGAGTCTGAGCCAGGCCTATTAATAGGACAGCTAAACAGGGCTGACTATTTACCCTTTCAGTCACTCGCTCCAAACATATTTGCTAGATTCAGACGTGCAGAATATTAAAAAATAACATTATAATGTTGCATTTCCTCATCAAAAGGTGTTCATATTTTCTGTGAGTGTACACCTACCCCACCCCCAGAACTAGGATGAATCAGGGAATGACCATCAATGCTGTTGTTCTTCATTAAAATGAACGTAACTGAAGCTCCAAAGTCACAATTTCTTGTAAATAAACCTTAAAGCTCCAAGAATTTAAGTGTTTCTTTCAGTCATGAATGTCATTTTAACCTCTGTTAAATATCACATATTAACCACTAAGGGACAGCTTTAAAAAAAAAAAGATGAAACTCTGAATACTGAAAACCCTGAAGCTAGTGCATCAGTAGATGGCACTAAAAGATAAAAGAAGAGAATGGTATCAATTAAGTCAACATCCTGCTTAAAGTGTATTTTCCGGGTATTTTGTTTGTTTTGATGATCTGATTTTTACCTGATTTAAATGAAAATGTTTCAATGTTTCTTTATAAATTAATTTTACATCAATGCAAATAAGTTCCATATCTTTATGTGTAATATGTGTTCAATACTCGATCAATACCAGATTTATATAGTATGTCTGTGTCTCTTGCAGCATGCTGGTTACCAGTAAACATACCAGTAAACTACAGAACAGATTTCAAACTGCTCCTACTAGTTTATAAATCACTCAATGGCATGGGACCAAAATACATGTCAGATCTCATTCCTGTACATACACCCAAATAGGGCTCTGAGATCCCTTGGAAACAATCAGCTGGTACCTTGGGTCAGAACCAAACAGGGTGAAGATGCTTTTAGCTACTATGCTACTCATGTATGGAATCAGTTCCCCCAGGACCTCAGATCTGTCCAAACTCTGGTGTTGTTTAAATCAAAACTTAAAACCCTAATGTACTCATCAGCCTCTGGATGAATTGTTTCTTATGCTGCATCATCTCCACTGTAATCTGTGATGTAATTGCTCAACCTTAATTCTGTCTTTTACTTGTAGCTCTAAATTCTGTGTATATTTTTATTTGTGTTCTCGTGTATGTTGCCGTGCCCTTTAATGCTAACTGTAAAGCACATTAAATTTCCCCTGTGTTTGAAATGTGCTATATGAATAACGCTACCTTCCCTAGTGTAGGAACCCACGTTTTTACTTGTTATTTGTGGCTTTTAGTAAATAATTGGTAAATGGCCTGTATTTGATATAGCGCCTTCTAGAGTCCTGGAACCCCTCAAGGCGCTTGACAGCACAGTCATTCACCCATTCACACACTGGTGGGGATGAGCTACAATGTAGCCACAGCTGCCCTGGGGCGCACTGACAGAGACGAGGCTGCCGAGCACTGGCGCCACCGTTCCCTCCGACCACCACCAGCAGGCAATGTGGGTTAAGTGTCTTGCCCAAGGACACAATGACAGCGACATACTGAGCGGGGCTCGAACCTGCAACCTTCAGATTACGGGGCGAGCACTTAACTCCTGTGCCACCGTCGCCTAGTGGTTGAAGTTTACAATCCTAGACTACTGCCTAGGTGTATATACATGTACATCTCAGGGGCGTGTCCAGGGAGTGGCCTGGGGTAGCACATGCCACCCTTGGAATCTGATTGGCCATCCCAGGTGCCACCACACTGAATTCCCTTTAAATGGGCTTTTCATTGTCCACAAAAGGCTTGAGGTAACACAAAAAAAGCATAACCATTGGTGTCACATATGCACAAAGTTGTGCCTCACGTGGGACACCCCATTTTAAAAGATCTGGACACGCCACTGGTACATTTGTTATTATTTTTCTTCACATTATTCTCTTAAGTGTTGGTGCTGCTGTAACAAGTGAATTTCCCCACTGTGGGATTAATAAAGTGTATTCTATTCTATTCTGAAGTGCATGGTTCCAGTAATTTTGTAAGGTATTGTTTAAAAGATGGCCGCTAGGTGGCAGCATATCACCACATCTCCAATGTGTTCATTTTCTCCGTTTAAGCGAACTCTTCGTTATTTTCCAGACGCTGTTTCCTCCAAAGCTTGTGTTTCAAGTCATTTGGCAACACAAACACACAACATTCCCAAAATTAACAAATACATAAATACCGCTATATCTGTTTATTAGTAAACTTTCTTCACGTTTTAAATCAGGAATAAATAAATAAATAATCCTATCAAGCACGAACTTTTTTTTGTTTGGAAATCAGAGATTTGGGACATTTTAAGAATCCTGGATGCTACACTGGGAGTTATTTCTTTATCTAATAAAATTATTTTTGTTTATATTAATATTATGTGAAAAAACGCGCTTCTTTGCTTACTTCGTGCTTTATAACTATATCATTTTAATCATATAATTCTTCAAATTGTGTCGCTTTGATGGATCTAATCAAATTAAATAAAACACAATGAAGTTACACAGTCATAAATAACAAATATAATTGAGCATGTTTTTATTTATAATATCAAAGACAAAAGCTGAGCCTTTCATGCACAGACATAAAAATAGACCCCACATTTACTTTGGACACTTGATCTTGTCATTCATTAATTGTTCATGAACGCAGCAGCAGATGTAGAAAAGATGAGACTGATGCTGTTCTTTGAATAAACAAGCTAAATGACGGTGAAAACTTGAATAAATGAAGTAAAAATAAAACTATTCAAACAGTTGGTTATATCGTGTAAATATTTTAAAATGATAATATTTGAAGCCTACATTAAGCATATTTAATAACTGCTTTTTATTAATTTAATATGGAAAAATGAGAGAATAATAGATTAAGTGTTTTAGTTGAGCTCGAGGCTCAGTTTGAAGTTGTTACTAATATATATTTTTCATATTTGCAAATTGTTTCACGTTTTAATTTACATCTTGGTCAATATTCCCACGACTCCTAATGCTTCATTACGGAGGACTTGGGCAATCCGCGTCAGGACAGTGGTCAGAAGCACTGTTTTTCCAGCTGAAATGGTTCATATAGGTGGAATAAATGGTGATTATCCACATTACCGGAAGGTTTCGCCTCAGAGAAGTCTGTTCACGTGGAGGGTTGAGGAAACCTTCACGTTTATTTCCTCCTCCGAATGAACCTTCCTGTTATTCCACCTCGAGTAAGCCTCGCGAGCAAGTTGTCAAAAAACGAAACTAACTTTTCTCTTTCTCTTAAAACAGTTTACGCTTGTTTAGCAGGTGGCCCTGACGTCACATGGGGTCGCAGTACGCCCAAAAATAATAACACACACCTCCGCGCACAAGCAAGTGCCTCCCCAGGGGGGGTTTCTAGTCCCAAATATACTTGCTTGCTGGGATGCAGCGTGGCGAGTGTTTGAGTCGAAGGAAGAAAAAAAAAAAAAAAACAAGGCGCTTCTTCCTCGCATTGCGCGTCATTCAAACAGAACTCAGTGTACCGCTTTTCTCGCTGTTGCATTAGTAATAACAGCGGCGTTGACGAGAGCCAGACAGCAGGAGAGAGTGTGTGTGTCTCCCGACAGACAGCAGAGGAATATTCAGGCTTTTTTATTTACTCTGCAGCTTGTTGTGCCTTTTTCGCTTCGACATGGTGAACTTGGACGGTCACGTGCGAAGGTCTCCGCGAGTTTAGAGAGGACGACGGCTTCTCACCTGTGTCCCCCTTTTGACTTGCCGGGAGGGAAATATAGCTTGCCTGCCATTTTTGCCCAACTTTAAACTGTGGTAAGTTTTTTTTTCTGCCCGGGAGCTCCTCGTTCCTTTCTCAGCTCTTATTCGTAGCTCTGAAGATGTAAATTAGCCACAGGTTTGTTGGTGTAATTCCGGGAGTGCTTTGCTACGTCCGCGCGCTGTTTACATGTGGCGCGCGAGGCTTTATATGCTTTTTAATTAGCGGCCAGCTGTTTCCTCCGCGGTCAGCTCAGTGTTCGGCTCTTACAGCGGTAGGAACCCCACACACTCAGCCCTTTTTACCCTTCTCTCGCCGTTTTCTTACTTTAACCTCACACACACACAGATATTTAGAACTTTAAAGTTTAAATGAACGCATTTCTTCTCAAGTATGGTTTAAAAACACACACCTGCTGGAACACTTTGTTTTGTTTATAGAAACTGAAGGAATTCAGTAACTTCAAATGGCATTTTAAGTTGTAATTTATTTAAAGAACAGTTAATTTGTAAAACTTCATGATGTTTTGTAGGGAGAGTTCTCCTTTTTAACAATAACATAATTGAACATGCACAGTTGGATCTTAAATCTGTATCTTGTTTTGTTTATTTCACAATTAAACAACAACCATGTTGTGTTTAAAATCAAAAGTTTAAAACTATTTTACAAAGACTTTATTCTTGGTGTTCTACAAGTCACAAACAGTTCTGTGAAATCTTTTTGAGTTGCTGTTTTTGCTCTTTATTTGCAGGACTAATAGTTGCATGATCAATAGACACCTTACCGTTGTTGCACTCTCCATTTTTATGTCCCATTCCAAGACAAACAAGAAAAGCTGGCAGCAAACTCATCGTGATGAACCTGTAATAACCTCATTCATCTCAACCATCTGAGCTCCTCTCACACACATTCTTGTCAATTCTTTTGTAGTTATTATGGCAAAAAAAAAATCAGACGTCATTATTTTTCCTTTTCTTCTTTTTTGGTGGGTAAAGCGGTTTTAAAGACTTTTAGGAGCTGCAGAACTCTTCAGGCCTGTCCCCGATCAGCTTTCGCCCCTGGAGAAGCCGCCTCCTTGTTCAAGCTGCAGGGTGCACAGGTGTTCCCTCCTCGGTTATGCAGGTGTGGGCCAAGTCCACCTCCCCCTTCTCTCTCATCCACCCCCCCATCCTCACTTGACAGCTCTCACCCTTCAAAGGCCAGGCTGCAATAAATGCCCCTCATGAAATATGACAGCGACCGTGCACAATCAGCCCCTTTGTTAATCACTCCCTATTTAAAACAGTTTGTGACCCCATATTTACCTGTTGTGTGTGTGTGTGTGTGGGGGGGGGGGGGGGGGGGGGGGATTCTTTAGTAAAACTGAATGCATTTTTCCACACACACCCTAAGGCGAAAGGAGAGATGGAGAGAGAGAGATCTGCCATCAGTCTCCCTCCATGAGTGACCGTCGTAGGGAGCAGCGCACTTATTACCCCTGCTCTCCCCTCTCCACGTCCATTATTTGATTGCT